AACACAGCGTCTCCCCTTTCCCAGAGGCACCTGAGAGAAAAGTGAGCAAGACACACTTAGTAACACAGCTGTGTTTCAGGGATGGCACTGAGATAAATCTCAATCACAATATAAACCAGGAAAAATCACATACAGAGTTCTCTGTATGTCACCTTTTGGTTTGCTTTGCCATAGTGAAGATGGAGCTCAGGCCTTGCACATGCTAAGCAGGCACTCTACCCCTGAGCTACCCCCAGTCCTTTTCATTCTGAGACACAGTCCTGCAAAGTTGCTCAGGCTGGGCTCAGACTTGGTAAATCTCTTCCCTCAGCCTCCCAAGTAGCCGCTACTGTAGGTCTAAGCTGCTGAGCTTGCCTTCTTATGTATAAAGTCACCATTCAATCATACAGATGTTGAAAAGTTATAAAGTACATAAAAGCAAGAAGCACTCTTTTAAGAAGCTGGTACATGTGGGAGTTGCTATCTAATGATGGCCCCCAGTTAACCACATGTGTTTCCCAGTACCCACAGCCCACAGTCCCCTGGAACACCACACAGGGAGGGCTCACAACACCTATCCTGCCTTGCTGGGGCAAGAGCTTTGTGTTCAATGAGATGCTGTGTCAGCACCTGACAACCCCACACCTTCGAGATGGGCATGGGAAAGGCTTACGGGTGTTCTAGCCCTAACTTGTGTTATAGCTCATGTCTAGATGTCCCCAAACCCTCATGGAGTCATAGGTAGGGCCTTTTCAGAAGTGGCTGGATCTAGAGTGCTGGATCTAGTTGCTGAAGTTGATTCATGGTGCAAAGTTCAAGATTTAAGATCGGTGCAAAGTTCTAAGATTTAAGACCTAGATTTAAGGGTGTGAGTTCTACCCACTCTAAGTAGACTGGATAAAACTGGCAGGAAGACATTGTTAAGATTCCTTGCTTGGGCCAGGGAGATGGCTCAGTGGAATAAGTGCTTCCCTGGCAAGCGTAAGGGCTTGAGTTCAATCCCCGGTTCTAAAAAAAAAAAAAAAGTGCAAGGATAAGATTCCTTGCTTGCTTTACTATCTTCTGTCTGCCATGAATTGTTTGTTCTCTGTGATGCCCCTCTGTCAAGCCACCCTACCTTACAATCAGCCAACTATAAACTGAAAAGTCTACAAACTCGGGAGCTAAATAAACCTCCGCCCCTTTGACTTGGGGTGTTGGGTACTTTGTCTCAGCAACAAAAAAGATTAAAAGACACTCTCCCAGCTGAGATGTCAGATGGACATCCATCCCCTGCTATTATCTGATAACAAATATGGCTATACAATATGGAGGAGCTTTTTGGGTAAATGACTATATTAGCATGCTGTGATCTCTGTAATTCCAGCACTGGCACTATAGTGGGGAGGGGATTGTCACAGGAGGATTGCAACTTTGAGCCCTGCCTCACCAATCTACCAAGTCCCTTTCTCAAAAAATATAAAAGGATGGTGGGTATGAAGTTCAGTGAAAGCCTTGGGTTCAATTCCCCATATTGCATACAACCAAAACAAGATGAAACAAAACCCACTATCTCTACCTCACTCAACAATAACAATATGGCTTTTTCTTCTTTTTTATTTTTCCTTATGGAGACACAGGCTTACTATGTAGCCCAGGCTGGCTTATGCTGATCCTCCTGCCTCAAAGTGCTAAGTGTTGGGATTACAGGCATGCGCCACCACACTCAGCCAACATTAACAATATGAAGTACTCTTTGTAATCTTATTATATCTCTTGGGTATGTGAGGTGCTAAATAGGTGTTAGAAAACAGCATGTACATCTTCCCTAGACTAGTGACCTACCCTGAATGACTGTTTCTCCAAGATAGTATCACTGCGACAATTGGTGGTGCTGAACCGCAGCTTGGAAGGATCATCTTCTTTGAACCAAGAGGGGACCAACCCCCATCGCATGGGAGCAATAATCCGCTCTGACGAGTCTGCATCCTGCCATTAAAAAAGGTTCAGATCAGTGAGATACAGACAGGTGCTGAGTTGTCTCTCAGCCCCAAGATCAGTGAGATACAATGAAGTCTCAAAAACAAAACTGGCATATGCGTTACATTACTATTAGTATGGAAAGACGAATGACATACAACTTTGCAAAAGCTGTCTACTTAAAAAAATTGTAATGAGGGGCCAGGGAGATGGTTCAGTGAAATAAGAGCTTTCCTGGCAAGTGCAAGGGCCTGATTTCAATCACCGGTTCCCCACCAAAAAAAAAAAAAAAAAAATTGTAATGGTTCACATGACATGTGTAACTTGAACTGGGTTAGGGAGGGGACATAAAGAGATAAAGTTCCTGTACACTTTTCATCTGTGTCTCTGGGACAGACTTGATGTGGCCCCAACATTTAACATGCATGTGGGTGACTTCCCCTGGCTAGTAGGAAGATGAGGCAAGAAGATAGCAAGTTTGAGGCCATAGTGAGTACCTTAGCAAGACCCTAGACTCAAATTTTTAAAAAAGGAGGGCCGGAGAGATGGCTCAGTGGAATTAAGCGCTTCCCTGGCAAGCGCAAGGGCCTGAGTTCAATCCCCGGTTCCACCAAAAAAAATAATAATAATAATAATAATAAAAATTTTTTAAAAAGGGGATCTAATGGGGCTGGGGAGATGGCTCAGTAGAATAAGTGCTTCCCTGGTAAGCCAAGGGTCTCAGTTCAATCCCCAGTTCTGCAAAAAAAAAAAAAAAAAAAAAAAAAGGGGGGGGGGAATCTAAGGATGCAGCTCAGCAGTAGAGCACTTACCTAGATGTGCAGAGCCCTGGGTCCCACCCCCAGCATTGAAAAACAAAAGCACTGAGTAGTTCTGTGCAGAAGAGTTCAACACAGCAGGCCAGAGGATGCCATTTTTAGCAAGGTCTATTTACAAGGTGACCTTCAGGTACCATTCTGGAACTAGCATTTTGAGAGGGTTCACACTTTTCCCTATTAGACAAAATGGTTCCCTCTGCCAAGTTTGTCTGAATGAAAACATAAGCAGGGATGGTAGTGCACACTTGTATCAGAATCAGGAGGGTGAGAGACAAGGATGCAAAATTCTATAGCTGCCAAGAACAGTGAGGCCTTGCCTAAAGAAAAAATAAAACCAACACCAAAATAAAAAAAAACACCTCAAACCAACAATAATGGTAATGCTAAAAGTTGGTGCTTCTGTTCATGTATTCACTCATTCAGTTTGAGACAATACCTTATTATGTACTCCAGGCTGGCATTGAACTCAAAGTACTCCACCCACCTAAGCCTCCCAACAGCTGGGATTATAGGTATGTGGCAGCACACCTGGCTCTCCAGTCTTGCATAAATCAGTTAATCCCCTTGACATACAAATATACACACAGAGATGCTTCTCAGTATTAAGAGTAGTGTCTGTGAAGTGGCCTGGAGTAGTAACTGCCACTGTTCTTAGTGTTCTTTTCTTTTCCAATCAAATTTAATTGGTACAAGGGCTGGCCAGAAAGCTCAGTGGATTAAAGTGCTACTTAGACAAGGTGCAACGCCAGAGGTTCAATCCCTGGCCTGCTGTGCAGGTCCCACCCCTGGGCGTGCTGAGATGGTGACTGAGACTGGGCATGGTAGCACAGCTACCAGCATACCTCCCAGTGCTTGGGAGGATGAAAACAGGAGGATCACTACGAGTCCAATCTATGTAGGGAGACCCTGTAGACTCTGTACTAAACACATTTAAAAAAAAAAAATTATTGGTACATTTTAATTTATTTTATTTATTTATGTGTGTGTGTGTGTGTGTGTGGCCTGCTCAGCCCACCTGGGGGCGGGGCTGGCTGGCATGTGGTGCTGGGGGATTGAACCGCGGTCCCTGTGCTTTGCTAAGCTTGTTCTAAGTAGGTGCTTTAGACCACTGAGCC